TCATAATGCGATTTTCGCCAGGTGTTGCTTTGTTCTTGTTGCTCTGTGAGTAATGATGAAAGATGCTGTACAAACTGCCTTTCTATGGCAAAGCCTACACGTTAGCCTCCCTTACAAGCTTGTTACTGTTGCCGTCAGGGACTCTAGGTTGGTCCAGGGATCATAAATGAATACCTTGTATGCACGCCGCATTCAGCGCTGGAAACACAGAGTGCATGCTCCTGCCTACACATTCTACAAGGGGACTTACAATGCCATAGGAGGGGTAAACCACACTGAGCACACAGGATACCAGTGAAACTGTGGCAGCCAGTGGAGCATGGGGAGGGGTGGCCGTGTCTCCTCCTGTTTTTGTCTGCGCGGGTTGTCAGGGATGAGTCTTGGATTGTTGTGCAGATTTTGTTACCCCCACCTTTTGTTCCTGCCATTAGGCGGCCCCTCCCCACGGTGTCAGCTGATCATGTTTCCCATTGTCCTGTCATTTGTTGGACAGGAGTTTAGGCCGTGTGGCGACGGAGCAAATGTAACCTGTCTCTGCTGCTGAAAAGGAATGGCAGGCTTCGATGCCCCTATATGTGACATCGGATCGCCGGACCTAATTGGCCCCAAACTTGATACCAACGACACTTCAACACTTCCTTGGTAGCAAATAGTTCATTGATAACCGTCAACAGGTGACTGCATCCCCGTCCTCTGCTCTCTCACTTTGAGGGGGTTTTGGAAACAGAGGGAGAAATGCCGATAACAGGATACTGACGTATGTTTCTCAGTGGGGGAGTTGTCCATGTCTGCTCCGCTTTTCAAGCTCTGTAAAAAACTTCATCGCCAAGGCTTATTGTAGCATATTTCGTGTAACCTATCTGATGTGCCCATGTTGTTAACACTGCAAACAGATGTATTACATGCTGTCGAAATTCTACCAGTTGCACCTGAATGGGGTAAGGTAGCCACTGGTGATGAAATCAGTGTGGGAATGGGTGCACAGGTGTGGATGTGTTACTCATATCAAACCATGCGAGTTGGAGGAGGAGTTCGATTCCACAGTAACAGAAGGGGAGTCCATAAACTTATGATACAGATACTCTGGGGGAGGGGCTTTGCAACACTAGACTTCACAAATCCTTTCTCTGCTGCCCATTATAACTGGCCACATGTTGCACTGGTCAGTTCAGATGGAAATGTGAAAAGGACCGTTTATGGGGCAAGCTGTGATAATTCTTATGTCCTGGTCAGTTCATATTCTAATTGTGAAGTGGACTTTACGGGTGCAAGCTGTGATGTTATTTCTATGCGTGTGCAAGTTAGTTATGCCTTATAAAGCTTAAGTGATAAAGTTCCATCCCTAATGCATTTAGACAAAGACCATCTGTAGCAAAAGTTGTCTGTTCCTACATCTTTACCATCACCTGCCTGTCTCCTCACTTTTTTAGTGTAACGAAAGCTTTTTATGCATTCATTTTTGGCAACTTGCCAGTCAGTGCACATTGTTGTTTTAAAGGTCTTTCATCCATGTGATGATTTTTTTCTCTCGCTGTTTCTCCAGGACTCTGACATGTCGGCATCGCTTGCGGAGAAGCTTCAGATCCCGGAGGGCTTGCAGAAGGGGTGGAGCGAGGACCACTGCGAGACGTGCGCCACTCACCTGGACCAGCTGAAGCAGGACGCCATCGCCATGGTCCAGTCCCTGGACGAGGCCCAGTCCAACCCCGGCAGTGCACCCCTGGGCAACCTCTCCTCCATTGTGGGATCCAGGAACATCGCCGCCTTACAGCGCGGCGGCCACCTGCCCACGCTCAACCCGTCCTCGCACCACCGCGCCACGGGCAGGCACGCGCAGGGGAAGCAGCAGTACCCGGCCCACAGCATGCTGCCTGTCAGGACCTCACCCTCTGCCGTGGCAGCACACGCACAGCAGCTCCTGGAGGACAACTGGAGCGTCTCCAAGCTGGGCTTCCAGCATCCACACCTCACACAGGTCAGATTCTTCATCTCTTCAGCTATTCTCACAAGCATAAAGAAAGTTCTCATGAAATTTGTCAGGGGCAACTGTATTCAAGTTAGTGTTTCATCAAAATACAGTTTAACAATATGAGTTTTAGATGTGTAAGTTGCTAGGTATGACAGAACCAACTGCTGCAGTGTGCTTTGAGAGGCTGTTATGTGGCATAAAGGCAGTTTATACCAGTTGACTGATACAGGTACAGATTCACACAGGTGGGTGCCCAACCT